GCTGCCTCGGGGGCCGGCCCCCTTTGCGGCCCTTGCTTTGCTGTTCCCTTCGCCGGTGCAGGTCGGTGGGCGGCGCGATCCCCGGCGCCTGTCCTCGCCTCGGGGACGACGCGCGTCCTGAACCTCCAGCTTCGGCTTCTCGCTCGTCCCCTGCTACGTTCAGTTCCCGGAGAGGCTGCTCCGAGCGAACCGCGTTCCTGTTCGTGGTCCTGCCCTTTGCATTAAGGTTCGCGCCAGCTGCTGCCTCTGGAAAACAACTTTTCAGAGACGGGAAGGCCCAAAGTCACAAGGCTGATTTGACGCCTAAGAGGCAGAGAGGGGCCCAGTCAAGTTTCCTGAAGCGCCTGAGAAGATGAGGACCCTGCCTTTTGGATTAAACCTACGGGAAGCCCGTGGGAGTCCTGGCCAGGCTCTCAGGAAGGACACAAGGAAAAATTGAAGCTCTTAGAGGAACTGGAAAGCTAAAACCACAGCAGTCCCCAGCCAAACCACGGCCACGCGTCACCTCTTGCTCCCGCCTCTCCCAAAGGAGAGGCACAAATCAACACTGTTTTGTTTACAGAGATGTAAGAGAAAAGGCAGCTTTAAACCACTGCAACTTTAAGCTACTAAAGAGCCAAGCAAGCAGAGAACAAATCATCCTATCAGTAAATGAAAACAGTCTTCTGAGTTGATCCTCCAGCCTGCATCGTCCATTAGGACCGTATTTGCTTCGCGTTAATAGCAGTATGTCGTTTCTTGTATAACGTCCATGTCTGCGTATATTCAGTTTTCATTTTGTTTTTAATCACTGTTTTCACACTCATATCACTGGCAATATAGGGAAGTTGTCTAGGCTTATGTGTATTTTTATAGTTTGAATATTGAATTTAATCCTTTTTTTCTTTTTGTCCCCAGTAAGAGATGCTAAAAACCTAGTTCCTATGGATCCTAATGGCTTGTCAGATCCCTACGTGAAACTTAAACTAATCCCTGACCCCAAAAACGAAAGCAAACAGAAGACCAAAACTATAAAGTGCTCCCTGAATCCTGAGTGGAACGAGACATTTAAATTGTAAGTACAAGGAAAATGTTTAAACCTGTAAACTAATTTCTCTCACCCCCAAGAGTTAGCGTGGTTGTATTTGCTCTGATTTAATTATTCAGTGAGATTAAGCTGAATCACCTGAGAAATAATTCTTTTCAGTTCTGTAAATGTGACTCAGAAGTGCTCCAACTTCTGCTCTGTACTTTGGTCAGAGCTGAGCGTTTCTGGGAAGGAACGCCACGTTGTCCGGTTGGAACGGGAAACTGAGCGCGAAAGAGCTGCGTTGTCTTTGAAGACCATCCCTTCATTTCGTGTCCGCGTTCTTGTTGAACGCGTGATAGCTTCCAAAATAGAAACATCCCTTTTTCTTTCCTCTGTTCCAGCCAACTGAAGGAGGCAGACAAAGATAGACGGTTGTCCGTGGAGATTTGGGACTGGGATCTGACCAGCAGGCATGATTTCATGGGCTCCTTGTCCTTTGGGATTTCTGAGCTGCAGAAGGCAGGAGTCGACGGATGGTAAGAATCCGGGTCTTGTAAAAACGCGGAGCTATGGGCAAAGCGGTGCTGGCCTTTTTGGTCCTGATGGACGGAGATTTGGCAGCCCGTCATTCTCGTGCTGATGACCCTTCCTTCAAGGGATATCGGTTGCTTTGGTTCCCGTGCAGCGTATGACTCCACCTCTCAGGCCAGAGGAAAAGGCTGGTGCTGTGCTCAGGCTGTAGATGACGGGCGGACAAGGCCGGACGGTGTTTGAGGGCCCGGCACGAACAGGGTTTGTGCTACCTCCTCTGTGTCTTTGTGCCTCTTTTTACCAAGTTGTACCACTTGCAGCTTCTGGGATTTTTTGGAAATCGGGGCTTCTGAGCGTGTTGTTCAAAACCACGGGGGCCGGGGCTCCCTCGGGGTCCCAGCGCGTAGGCTTCGCAAGGAGACTCTGCCAGCTTGCAGAGGAGCAAGAGCGTTGTCCAGAGCAGTCCCGGTGGGATTCGTGTCCTGCAAGGCCACGTGTCTTCCTAGGCCTGAGTGTACGGGGAGCGAGGTGGTTCGCTGGTCAAGAGAAAGGAGGGAAGAACATGAATTCAGTCTGGGGAAGATGCTTCAGTAGCAGATGGACTAGCAAAATTGGTGACAAGGGATGCTTTTCAGTAACAGGAGAAATGCTGTCCAAAGCACGTAATTACTGTCGCTTGTTATCCTGCGAAAGGTGAACGCAGTGGGTCTGTGCGACTCACGCTGAATGGGTCCGCGCATTTCCATTTTATCTTCCCCAGCAGGATACGTTCCTTTTTTATTTCCTTTTTTTCCCCCCTAGTCACTGATGCCTGAGAGCTACGTTACCTTTCCATGCTTTCCATGTGAAGTGTAGTTATTCAAAAAAGGTTTTATAAGTCCTTTGGAAGCCAAAAACCATATGGTATCAATTTGCATTATGTGAGGCCAGAAAGCACCCTGGATTCTCCATCTTTTCCACTGCGGTAGCTCTGTGCTTCTCATTTAAATCGGAGAGAACTTAGGAAGGGAAGAATTAGCAAAGAGAACAGCGTGGCGCACCGACCGCATGGCGCGTGATGGCTGCCTGATGATGCGCTAGCCCAGGAAGAAAAATCACCTGTTACTGTTTTTTTTGCCTTCTCCTGTTCAGGAGGGTCCTGCGCTGGGACGCGGGTCCC